TGTAGATGGATTTTTTTTGCCAAGGTTTGCATATGGTGGTGTGATCTAAATGACAGTTTTCCTAAAACTGTATCTATTCTATTCTTCTATTCCTAAAATAAGAAATATCACAATATATTGTCTTGCTTACAGTATAGCAATATATCGCAAAATATTGTATCGCAACCCCTGTATCGTGATACGTATCTTATCGCCAGATTCTTGCCGATACACAGCCCTACTGAGCAGTATCTTTTAAGAAGCCCTGCAGAAATATTTCACTTTTTTCGGGATGCAGTTCCTCATCCTCAAAACCCCCGTAGAGCCTGACAGGGAAAGTGATTGGCACCGAAAAGGACATGCAGGCTCTACTAGATTACGTGTAGTGAACATAACAAGGACTTAACAAGCGTAAAGCAGGACGCCGACTGCGCTGAAGAAGGACAATACGACACCGGCCTTTCAGAACCAGCACTGTAAATTAATTTAGACCATTTGCCATTGACTGTAGGAAAAAAAAAAATCACAAATACAGTCAATAGCGCAACTGTTTCTCCAAGACAGCAATGAGATACAATGAAGAGCAAACTGACACTTAAATCTCCTGCTCTTTTGAGAGAAAAAAACACTGTGTAGTCTCACATGCATCTCAAAAAAGTTTGTTACAAAGTGTTTGCAGATTTGTTAATGTCTGCAACCCATCATGTGTCGCAAACACTTCAAGTCAACATAAATTGCCCATTTGCAACCCACTTAACATCTGTGCTATCAGGTTTTAGGAGTGAAACAGATATTTAATGGGCAGTGTTTGATATTAGCCAGAACTGACAGGAATAGTAAAAATTGGGCATTTTCAAAAACAAAAATTCTAATACTATAAAAAAATGCTAATAAAATACTATTAAAGTTGTATGTTAATATTGATATGTGAATTAGATTTTATTTTATTGTCAGTTTTTTTTTACAGTTTTAGTAATAAGTTTGAGTGTTTTGTGTTTGTCTTTATATATATATATATATATATATATATATATATATATATATATATATATAA